AGATGGTATGCGTTATTATATGACAGCGCAGTTTCGCGTGTAGCTGTGCAGGCTATGCGTAATTTGCATCCTGAATTAATAGCCACTATTCAAGCAAGAACTTTATATAGCAAAGCAGAAGAGGATCTATTAGGCACTATTAAATCGGTGGGTATTATTAAATTCTTGTGGCACATGATGCGTGGTAAATTACTAAGAATTTTACGTTCTGTGTAATGCAATTCTAGTAATTCACTAAAACACAAATTATCCAGCAGGAAAACACGCAGGCTTGATAAATGTTTTCATAGAAAATACAAATATAACTCATATATAAGTTAGTTACTGATGCTTATCTTTATCAATGTAGACTAACTTTAATCTCAGTTTAACTTATTTTTTATCTTTTTCTAATTCTAGAAGAATAAAAAAAAGAAGAATAAATCAAGATTAAAGTGATGTATATTGATAGAAATGAGTTAGTCTTTTTTTTTAATAACTTATGAGTATGTGATTTTTTTTTATTTTATCTCTTTAGACTTCTCAACCAACATTGGAAGTATTTCAAGAATTGCTTGAAGCAAATGCACATACGTTTTATCCAGCTAGGACTGCGAAAGCGTTACACAGTCATTGGCAATTGATGAAACAATATCACCTATTGCCAGATCAGACAGTGCAAAGTTTACCACGAGGTGAACACGTGTTAAGTTTTTCCGATGCCGAAGATATGATTAACGATACCGAATTAATGGAACCGAAAGATGAATTAGTGGATACTGAATTGGCAACGGCGGATAGAAAAAACAAGAAAGAAATTAAAGTATTGGAAAATGAACTTGGTAGATGGCAGGTACTTGTCGATAGCGTAACAGGTATCAATCCTCCAGAATTTGATAATCAAACCTTAGCCATTTTAAGGGGAAGACTTGTCCGATATCTTATGAGATCTAGAGAGGTAAGAGGCAAGCATAGGATTATAATTATTTTATATTTATTCATATATAATATATATTTTATAATTATTCATATATAATAAGTTATTGCTTTATTTTAAAAGATTTATATCTCATATTCTCTTCTATCTTTGTTCAGATAAGTGTGGGACGTTCTACAAAAGATCATACTGTCGATGTGGATCTTGGTTTAGAAGGTCCAGCGTGGAAAGTTTCGCGTCGACAAGGTACTATCCGTTTAAGGAATAATGGAGACTTCTTTTTGTCGTCCGAGGGAAAACGGCCTATTTTTGTAGATAGCAGACCAATTTTGGCTGGTAATAAGATGAAATTGAATAACAATAGTGTAATTGAGGTAATTATTATATAAATTCTTACGTAATTATAATTATTGCATAAAGCATAACACACTTAATTGGAGTTTTCTCTTAAATAATTTTTATTAAATAATAGTAATAACTTATTTTTTTTAACTAAAAAGTTTTTAATCACACTACATACATTTTTTTTACAGATTGCAGGACTGAGGTTCACATTTTTAATAAATCAAGAACTCATCTCTGTGATACGACAAGAAGCTGTCAAATTAAATTTAAATCCTTAAAAAATATCAAAAAAGAATGAAAGACAATATTAAGTTTAGTAATTAGAAAAATGTTCTTTTTTTACACTAATCTATATATTAATCTATATTTGAAAATAGCAAATACATACTTTGCGAAGCATAGATCTTTATTAATGTATAAAATATCTTTTATAATTCATTTATTTATGGCTAATCCTTAAAGCATCATTTTTTTTATAAGAAAAAGTTGTTTCTCTCTTATAACTCATCAAATAAGAATGTAAGAAATTTTAGGCATTCATGTATATATTCTCTTTGGATAGGCAAGATTTTCCTGTTTTTATGCGAATAATGTTTTAAAATCCACTCATAACCTCAATAATAGTAAATTAAAAGTAACAGTAAGGATAGATACTTAGTCCAAGTTTAAGTACAAACAATAATACACACTGTACATACTTTTAATATAAATTATAAATTATTACATAAACGGCCATCTGTATATCCCTTTAATAAATTAGATTTGTGTAAAATTAGACATTTCCAATGTATAGAAAATGTTCGAATATTTTATACATGTTCTATAAATCGCAAAAACTTGTGAAACTTATACATTATGTATATCGTTTGGAGAATACAAATATAAAAAAGGACATCAAAATTTTATCGAATATTCAGAAAGCGAGATAATTTCTATACACACAGGAGACACATTCGAGTCATTAGTATGTATGTTAAAATCAGGTTTCAGCAGAAACCTCGTTCTATCTTTGTATCTCATACGAGGTTTTTGCGCCTGTGGCTTCGTCGCGACGAGTCACAACGAATCAACGGCACTCGCGTAGTTATATTAAGCGAGGCGTAAAGCGCATAAGGCGATTAGCATCATATTTTTACGAGTATCCGCTGCACGCATGCAGTTCCAAGTGTGAAAACAGGTGGACGCGCGCGCGCATGCACACATGTGCACATACACAACCTACACACGAATAACGAACGGAGCAAAGTGCGCACCTCCACCGCAAAGGGCGCGCGCGTGTTTATCGTCTCTTTTTTTTCCGCACGGCGCAACTGGCGCAAGCAGTCGTGTCCAATATGGCGTGTATGTTGTGAACGATGTTAACTTGCAGGTAAGTTCTGGAGCGTGAATTTCACCCTCGCGAGACATTATCCGCGGCAGATCTCAACGATCCACCCCACGCACTCTCGTCCTCGTCCTCGTCGTCGTCGTCATCGCGGTGATCATGTGCGTTGAACGCGAGCGACGATGAGCGACAGCTCGTCACGATGGGATCTGCATGCGTATGTGTATGTGTGTGCGTGCGTGCGTGTGTTTGTCAGATGTGTTTGTCAGTTGTGTTGTACCTTCAAGGCCCCGCGTGGCAAGGTGCGTTTCTCGCAATAACTTCGCATGTAAATCCGCGTATCACAGATCACACAGCACGCTCGGCGCTTCGCGACGACGAGGCGTTATGTCGCGAGGCGAACGTAAACACGTACCCGCGCCGCGGGGCTTGGGGGTAGGGTGACCAACAATGGCTTACAACCTCGGTAAATATGGTGTCACCTGTTAGTGCGCGTTCCAGCGCCGAGGCATGAAGCATGGTCGTAAATGCTCGGACAAGCTCCAACCCGCGGCTTGACAGCTCGGTTCTTTCGCTCCAGTTTTACGTAGCAGAACTATCCGTTGAATATTTATTTCCTTCATTTACATTCTGATGACGGAGCACACACGACCCATGCTCGCGATTATGCGTGCGTGCATACGTGTACGTGCAAGTGCGGGGGTTTATATGCCAAATATGTCAAAGAAGTATCTAGGTCATAGGCATACACTTGTGTTATGCGTTCTAGACTCTGCGATCGTTGAGGTGGATATAACAATGCTGCTGTTTTTCAAATAAATAAAGCAATGTGTACTTATCATCGCATATTATGTTCTTTGGTATTCGTAGTCTGTTCTTTTACAGAGACCATTTCAAGTAATGTTTATGACCTGTATAATCTTAAGATGTCATAAGCTTATACTCATAATTGATTCTTATGAGCTTTCTATAATAAGCTATTACTATAAGTTTTAAATCTTAAGTTGTAAGAAATTAATCACAATCGAATGTGAGAAGAATAATCTATGATTGGTCCTGTTTCTTGCACCTTAAAACTTAAAGCTTAGATTGTAATAGATAAACCAGTTATATTTAAGAATTTTATAACAGTTGCAATGCTGCTTTTCTTGTTGAAACAACACAGCCAATGACTTATTGTCTATAAAAAGCTCATTATGTGTATAACTGTCTTAAATATAGTCTTAAGATGTCATGAACCAATTAGAGATAGTATTCATAGTCCATTCTTATTTTAAGATTATTTTTAAGATAGTAATTAATTATCTTAATATGCTAATAGGACCCTTGAATTGGCTTAAGTCTAAAAGAATCGATTATAAGTACTGATCAGAGTCACATCAGTATCTTAAGACATTACTTAAGATGGTCTTAAAATAAAAATGGACTATATATTATAAATGCCAGTCTGTGATTGGCTCATGGCATTTGAAGATTGCATTTAAGATGATTTTTAAATATAAGAATCAATTAATAAATATCAACCTTATAATAAGTTCTGATTGATAAAAATTATAGGCTGGTTTTTATAGTTGTTTCTTATTTTAAGATTATCTTAAGATATTAATGCAACTGTTTGATTGCAGTTCATATCTTAATATTGTGCGTAAGATAGTCTTAAATATGAGAAACTATAAATACCAGTCATAGTCATATGTTACTTGGATTAGATTAAATTGAGGATAAAATATTTGATTTTTGCTTGGTTAATGAGATAATCTGGACTATAAAGAGATAATATATTCCTTGTATCTTAGAGTTCATCAAATCTATGTTACGCATTATAATCTCTTTGTGATCGTTGAGATGGATATAACTGTAGTCCTCCAAATAAAAAGCGTGTACTTACAATAATCATAGTCGCAAATATATTCTTTGACTTTTTATTGATAATAAAAATTCATTGTTATAGATTTTTATGTCCTGAATTCAAGCTGTTTTATTTACTCGTCAAATGAGGATAATTATTTTTATAATATAGATCCAGTACTAGAAATCTGCGATGTTAAAAGAACATGTTTATTTTAGAAATAATTTTATTCAATTGCACAGATATGATGAGAGATGTTTATATTTATTAAAACCAATTCCAATAATGTTACATATAAAGTATGTTTTTATTGTTACACTGCACTAATATTTTCTTTCTTCAGCTAAACATCAAACATATTTATTTCACCTTAAGTGTAAAAAGTGTACATTAGTTTAGTCATAAAAAGTAGATTTATTATTTCTGTGTAACTGTTACAAATTGTGTCAAATAACATTTAGTCTTTTCTGCTTATTAGGTAATCTCCTGCTCTTAATACTTGGACAGATCTCGATGAACAAGGAGAACGATGTAATCACAGCAAAATAATAGCAAAACAATGTACAATGAACTACAGTGGAAATATGCCAGATTGGCATCAGTATAATCCTCCGCAATCAGGAATAAACGATGTAACATCGACCGCTCAAAATGTCAATTCGGGACACTTATCGTTTATCTCCAGTATTAGTCCGACGCAATTGAACGGTCTGAATCTCAGCTCGGAGGGACTCGAGAAACACCAAAACGATTCCAATTTTAATCCGAGGCACTTTCAGCCGCATCTGTCGAGCAATATCTCACATGGTCACAATGCCACTGACAACAATCCCCTCGCGTCGATGGTGCAGATGCAGAATTGCATTGGCCACTATGGGCCTTCGAATACGAGAAATCCCATGGACAATTTGAATGGTTCTATGGATCCGAGGAATGCCGCGATAGGCGGTATAAATGAAGAGTTAGGTTATAGAAATAATCAGATGCCTTTAAACGGACCTATCTCGCATCTAAATGGACCAAACGTGATGAATATGAATGCACCGCATGCGTCAATGGGATCACGAAACACCAACGTGAATTCGCATGCCACTAGTAGAACAGGTCCTCCGCCATCCTTCGTTCCCTGCAAGGGTTTGTGCTGCAATCCGGATCCTAACATAAGTTACCAGCAGTACTGCTCTTATCCGAATAATGCGACTTATAGGGAGAATATTCGTACGTCCACCGGATACCAAACGGACGCTCGACGATTCGGAAACGATTATAATTTTAGGAAGGACAATTTTGACAGCAAGGAGGTTCTATCGCCTATGGTGCAACCGCCTAATGGGCCTAATGCTGATCACCGGAGAAACTTTTCTGATTTTAAATATCGCAAGGATCGCCTGATTTCCCGCAACTATTCATCATCCTCGGGCATGTTGCCGAACTATCCCATGCAAAATTACAACTACACGGGAGAGTACCAGAAGTATCCTTACAATGTCAAAGAGTATTCCAAGATGAGCGGCATGAACGTGCCGAATCAGGGGATGGTTAAACATCCGGAACAAGGTTTCGCGATGCCTCAGCAGAAGTATAACAACAAACAAGTCCCGTATCAAACTGGCGGCGCTATGATATCAACCAACATGCCGTCCACGAGTGTTCCGAACTTGAGTATGATGCCACCTGCTCAGAATACTTATTTCAATTCGCAGTACCCGAGAAATCTATCGACAGACGCTTCGCATGACTGTCAGGAGGCCACCGATAATGCATCCATGGTAAACAGAATGCAAACATCTACGACTATGCATACTCCCTCTCATTCACGGTATCCGATGTATCAACAGAAGATAGCGATGCAGAGATTCTCGATGGAGAATCATCTGAGGGAGTTGGCGAAAATACCCGGGTACCAGTCGCATCCCAAGTATAAGGAATGTGTTCATAGATATAGAGAAATATTGAAATTACAGCAGTCTCATGTCACATATCAGGGACAAATGCAGCAGACTCCATGCGTCGCCACTACCACGTCGACAGTTAATACCTCTGCTATCCCACCTATAAACTTGCAGTTCGATCAAAATGGCGTTTTAATCAATTCTAATTACATGCCCGAAGCTTTCCCTAGAGTACAACAAGCAGTGAATTCTCAAACGCCGGACAACCCGGTGGACAAGCAGAGTAAGCAGGATGGCAATGGCGTCCCCGAAATGACGAATCGCAACGTCCAGAAGCCGGAACAATTGGTGTCGCAACAACACGACGGTCATGCGACCGCGCTGTGCGCGGAAAGCATGCAAAAGCAAGATCGATACCCGGCGCAAAAGAGCCTCGAGCAGAATCAGTTCGAAATTCAAAAAACCGGAAGCGAGAGCTTCAACAATCTGACTGGGAACGCGAATGACGCGGTTATACAACAGAAAATGTCCAAAGAGTTCGCCGACAAGCCGGAGCTTGACGTACGACAGTTTCTCGCCAACTGGGATGAATCGGAGGATGAAGATGGCGCGAGTACCAATTTGCCGAACGCTGTTCTGAGCGATTCGACACCAGTAGTAGTCGTGGGCTACGAGAACGTGAATCTCTCGGCGAAGACGTTGGAGGGTCTAGAGGTCTCCAAACCGGAAGAGATCACCCCGAATGTTATAACGTTCGAAAATCAGGAGAAGAATGATATCGGTGTGATACCAGCGCAGGACTGTCTGACCATATCGTACTCATCCGCGGAGAACGTTGAGATTGCGAAGGATTCAACGTGTAAGGATATCACGAAGGAAACTATTGTACGATCGGGAAGCCACATTATACAGTGCATAAGCAATGGGCCTGACGAGGTACCAACGATACACATAGTTGACAATTTAGAGATAGGTAGCATTTTACAGGTCACAAACGGTCAAGTTACCGAGACTTTGGAAAGGCAAGACACAGTGTCGTTCTTCCAAGAAGGAACAGAAGTCGCGGCAGCAGCGATAACTCTCGAGGCCGCCGATAAGTTCAAAAAGACCGACAGCAACACAACCGAATCGGTTACGACCGAGTTCAATGCTGATCTTGGAAATCTGAAGGATTGCTGCAAAGAGCAATACGTCGAAGGTCCCTCTCCGCCTAAAGCGATGGAGAGCACCCAAACGTCGCGAGTAAGTGACCGGGCGATCACCGCTCTGCCTATGTCGGCGAAGGATTCCGCCCGAGACACGAATTTGAAGAAACAGAATAGTTTCGCGAGCGAGGAATCTCATAATCCGGACGATATAAGTTTGCCAGACTTGCCCACGTCAGAGTGCACTCCGATCTCTACTACGCTGAACACGCCGATCCACTCTGACAATGAGGAATCGTCGGAGCGTGTCGAGGATCTCACGATATCAACAAATCCAATCGAGATTATGCAGAACAGTCCCATGATTAGTTTCACGCAGTCGCCGACGAAGAGAGAGCCCTACGATCATCTGAATAGCGAGGAAACCGTCAAGAATAAACCGGCCGATTCATTAGAAAATGAATATCAGACGGAGAATCATTTCAAAAACAACAACGGTGATAACAACATGCTCGGTCATGATGCTATTCTTGATACATTTGAATTTTCCACGAATACTGATAAGAATGGATCTGCGTCATTTACAAAAAACAGTAAAGAGCACGCGAATCTGAATGGAACTTCCGCTTCGGCAAATAATAGCGAGAAGATATTTGCGCTCGACAATGAAACGGAAACTGTGGAGGCCACTAGCATGCGTATGACTTTGACCTCCGGCGAATATGAATTAAAGATCGTGTCAACTGGAATGCAAAATAAATCAATGCAGGTTCATAAAAATTTAAACGAGCGCCGTGCTAATGAATCTCAAGCGACGAGTCCGGATGCTCATAAAAAATCACAGGCAGAAACGAATGCAAAAGTCGCGTATAACGATTCGACGAATGGGGATAATACGACAAAGAATGTCACGAATAATCCTGACCCTATTACGTTAGACGGCGGTCAGGATGATTATTCCGGAAGAAGACACGCCTTGACCGAAATGACCCGTCAAACGGCAATGAGCAGGGTAAGTTCATCAATGACAAACGACACCGCTCCGAGAAATTCCAGGGCAGAAGATATGATGCAGATTGTTAAAAGTAATTCACCTATATCACATAGCGCGAAACAGTTGACATTGAGTAACGATAAATTGAGGAAGGCCGAGGCATTGTTCACGAACGAGGATTCTTCGGAAAAGAGCGCCAACAGTAATAAATCAGTAAAAATCAACGCGACGGACTCGAAGAATTCTCAGCATGTAAAATTCGCGGATCGCAAGAAGTCGGTCTCGGGCGACCAGGCAATTTCTCACAAAAAGAGATGTTTGTCGGAAAATACAGAGGGTAGCGGCGGATGCGGCGAAACCATTGTACATCACAATAAACATACTCAAGAAATAGCAACGCATAAGGACAAATCCTGTACTGTTGAAAATTCCAAAGGATTTGATAATTCGCGTAATAAACCGAGAGTGATCGAGAACATTAGCATTACCGATAGCGGGGAAAGGATGCGGCTTCTAAAGGAGTACAGAAGAATAAAGTATAAATCACACAGCGTTAGTAAAGTTCACGATAAGGTAAAGGATACGCAGGAGGCCTCTGATTATGCGACGAATAAGACGTGTCATCGTTCGTCGAATCCCGACGAACGATCCGAGTCGCAGTCACCATGCGATAATCAGCTATGCCAGAAAGACATGGCGAGATCTAAGTCGTCCGAGGAACAGCAAGAAAAACATGCGAACATCTTGAAGACTTTCGTAGCTAAGAATAAAAATCCTGACTTTGCTATTCAAGTTACGAACGTCAATCTGAAACTCAAAGATGACGATCATCAGAAAGGATCTCAGCATTCGAGGGAGGAGACGAAGAGCAGCGGTTCTCTTGACGGGATCAAGATTGAGATAAACGTGTCATGCACGGAACGGAATACAACAGAGAAATTGCTGCATGAGAATATCAAGAATGCCGTCGCCGAGACGATCGGCCATTTGACTAATACGATCTCAAATTCAACGAATATAACGGATAAGAAAATAATTTGTGATAAAGCGGATCGCCAAGATTATGAGAAACGCAATCGATCACCATCCGCTACAACAGAAGCGTCTAACGAAGCTCATGAAGATCACAACAACACAGTCAAATCAGTGGTCGCATGCGAGGAAGATATGAACAACGAAACACTTTCGAAGAAGAGACGAAGTTCATTGTCGGCACAAGAATTGATCAATGACGTATACGAAGATAGCGGTATGTTTTCGAATACTTGTATGGAATCGACTAGTTGCAATGTAATTTTACGAGATGATACTCTTTCAGGCACCGTTAATATCGAATCTGAGCTGACATCGAGCGCTCTGAAAACTTCAAGATCAGAACATGCGATGAACAGGAGAAGCATACATCAAGATGCAGAAAGGAAGATCGCTATTACCAACTTCGGTAGCGAGGAACTGAAAGCCTCTTCGGACAATTCACCATACTTAGGATTGAAGACTGTCAATGTGCAGAAGAAGGAACATCAGCAAATAGCCGTCGCTTCTCCATGCAGGAGCGCAAAAAATTTTCAAGATGATGCTACGTCGAAATTAAACGCGATTCCATCGACTTCTTCAAGTACGATAGAACCCAGCATAGAAGATGTCAGTTACAATAATCTCGTGCATTTTGATTACAATCATTTTGACGTTGCGCCGAACGAAAATACGGATGTCGACGACAAACGTGCCGACAGATGGAAAAGGTCAAAGAAAGACAGTAAATTCGGCAACTTCGATCTGTATGAAACTACCAGCGGTTACGTAAACCCGACTTTCTTCAGCGCAGACGAACTGGAGAATTTAAACGTAGTTCCTGTATACACCACCAAAGACGGAAAGATAACTTATAGTCCTAACCCTCGATTCACGTATCGCGAGCTACTTACGGAAGCTCGCACAAAGGATTATGGTAACTTTCGCGAACCGTATTTTGCGAAATCTCCGTCGTACGATTATTACAATTGCTCCAAGTTGCGGAAGGTATTCAAGAGAAACCGCGATGTTACCACCGCCGGTAAGAAAAAAGAGATTGATCTTATCGACGCTAAATCTACAGCGATACATGTTGATTATTCAAATAAAAATACTGTTCACAAAAACGCTAATTGCGCGAAAACTCGAGGTACGCATTTAGAATTCTTCAATGATGATGCTAACAAGTTGTATGCAAACAAGAACGATCAAGAGAGCAAAGAAGCTAATAATAAGAAAAATATCATAGATTTGGACTTCCTCGAAAAACAGTATAACTTGGATAGTATCGAACCTCCAGCCAATATTACATCCAGCATTAATAAACATTGTAAGACGAAAGTATTCGCGGACAATCTCGAGTATGAGAAAGGATACAACGAAAGCTCCGTGTTCGAATCGAATTTATTTTTGGAACCAAGGACCTCATGTTGGGAAGAGACTATGGAATCAATTAAATCGTATTCTTCTCACATCGATAGAAGAAACAGCAGTAATGTTAAAGAACTGAATTTTAGTGATATATTCGCCGCGCAGAAACGATTGGATACTTTCCCATTTCTACCTATGGAGCAAGATTCTTCCGACAACGGCATTCATAAAGCGAATTGCGATGTGATGAATGAGCCAACGTTGCACCACACAACGTGCAATTACATCGATGATCTACGTTCGATTCAGGATGACGATTTGCGACATGAATCATCGAACGCTGCTTTATGCAATGAACAAGAAAATGAATGTAATAATCAGAAAATTGCGTCAACAGATGTTATTGATAAATCGGTAGGCATATTTAATATTAATGCATCGTTGAGTATGCAAAGTAATGATGAACATACAAAAAAGCAAGAATCTCAGATTGATGGAAACGAATCCAGTGCAATCGGAGTCACTGAAAAGGCACAATTGTGTGATTCTCCTAAATTGATGGATAAGAAAATACACGATCCAGAAGAAGATCAAAGTTCTACGAACTACGATAAAAACAAGGAAGCCTCGATGAAACAGCCAGTGGAAGACAATCATTCATATCTTTGTTGCGATCGTTCTGTCTCTCCAAAGGAAGATAAACTCAATGCTGAAGTTGCAAATACGAAAGAAATTTCGGATGAAGATTCTGCCAAAGTCGCAAATCCTTCTAAATTAAATGTCGAATCTAAGGATTCACTTGACGAACCAAAAAATATGGAAAATGTAAAAGAATCCACGCTTGCTTTGAGTGAACAAGATAATGAAATTAATGATTCAGTGAAAAATGATTCAGACTCTGCCGTGAATCAGGAAATTATATATCAACCAGTTTTATCAGCTTCGATCGATCACAAAGATAAGGAAAAGACTACGCTTACGGAATCGACTGTTTCGACTGAGATTACTTTCGATCAAGTAGATAAGCAAGACATGTGTGATAAAGGAGATACTATTATATCTAAAGAAGACGAACCGAGTGCCTTGCAAAATTCATCTAACGTTGCATTCATCGAACAAACGCTTGCAGAGGAAGGCAACGAGCAACAATCAGAAATTTCGGAGATTGATCGACAAAAAGCTGAAGTTTCATTGAAGAATCGAGGAAATGACGAAGTGAATACTTGTTCTATAATATCTACGTCCACCGCTTTGAACCTACGAACGGAAAAGAACATATGCGACTTATTCGCAAGCGAGAGGCACGAACAAAACATATCAGAGTTCACTGTCATCAAGAATATCATTAAAGGCGACAAGAAGCAATGTCAAGAACCTGAGATGAATGAGATTCCCAAGAATTACGATAGCATAATCGATTCCAAGTTACTGTGCATAGATTCTTCTGATTGCGGAATTTACGCGGAGGATAGATGTACGTTGCAAATGCCCGAGCATGATTTCACGGAGGAAGACAGTATGGTACCGATGGTGTGGGAGACGAGCCAAATTCAGGAAGACGCTGTCAATCGTTTATGCAACATCAATGAATCGATCGATTTTGGCGCGGTTAATTCACTCCAGGATAATTCGCTGTTAGACCATCTGTCTCTCTCGAGGATGTCTGCTACCAAAGAGTCTCAAGACATGGAAGTAATTACTGAAATTGAAAACAAGGCGATCAATAAATCAACGGTCAAAACATCTGAAACAGTAATTGAGGAATCTAAAGCAGTGATTGAGAAATCTAAAGCAACGATAGAGGAATCTAAAGCAGCCATCGAGGAATCTAAAGCAACATCGAGCAACAACGAAGGCAAAGAGCAGAATCAAATTTCTTCTAGTAGCTATGAGAAGATAGCGTATTTGCGCGCGACAGATTGCAATGCTAACACAAAGATGATCCCTAAACTCGTTATCAAGAAAAGCGAGACTAGCTCAAAGTTCGTTACGAAGATGGGTTCCTCTTCTGTAACACAAGATAGTACATCTAACAAGTCAATTTGTCAACCGAAGATACCAAAGATGATTATCAGGAACGCGAGATCACGCCCGGGGACTCCGTCTATCGAGGCGGTTCACGAAGAAATTCCTGTAAGTATCATGAATCGAACTTCGCTTACGATTGATGATATATGTACTTGCAGTTCCGAAAGTTCTCTACACGAGTCAAATAGTTATAGAAATAAAATTCCCAAAATGAAGATTAAATTAGATGAGAAGCACTCCAATAAGATAGTGAGAGCCGATGATGATGAGGAAGTTTGTATCAAACGCAAAAATGTTAAGAAAACCATACCAAAGGTTAAAATAAAGAATAGCTCAAGGTCTGATCTGGCGGACAATTTGGATTGCAACAGTATGACTTCTCAAGAGTCGAGAGATGCGGGAAGATATGAGGAAAAAATACCTATACTGAAATTGAAGAAACAGGAAAGGAACAGATCGTCATCTCCAGAAGTGACACGGAAGAGGCAATTCTCGAGCCATTATTCGGAAGTGCCGCTCAAAAAGTGCAGAAGATCGGAACGTGATGATACAGAACATCATACGAAACGCAGCAACTCCTCCGAATCAATGCAAACAAATGCGTCAGAATGCGAAACGAAGAAGAATTCCATGATATGCATTTCTGAGAAGATTCCTAAGGTAATTATCAAGAGAACATCGGCTAGCGCGGAATTCAAATGCGAGCTGAGCAAGGGCTACAAGAATGTCATTGCGAAGAGTGCAAAGTGGCAACCGGAGGTCAAATTGGAAAGATACCGTATCCTGGACAGCATGGTGAAGGATTTGAAATTAACTTTGTCCCCAATTACGTTACGAGCTATCGAGAAAATGTCTGTAAGTCGCAAGGATAGCCATCGTCAGGAAAAGCAAGGTGATTATAAACTGTCCAGGTCGAACTCAACGTCTGATCTATTTCCGGTTAAGTGTAAGCAGAGAAGAATGTCAGATTATGACTGTAGAAAAATTAATGATACGTCAAGAGTCGATGTAAATTTTGCATTTAAAACAGATATCAAGACGTGCATCATACCGAAAAAGTATTCATCCAGAGGTCATAAATCAACCAACGAATATCGAAAGGACAAACGTAGATCGAGATCTCGTGATAATAATCCACGATCGGAAGTGGATGTTACTTCGTCCGATAAAGAAACCAATCAGTCATCTGAAAGAACCAACTCACAGAAAGCTACCTCTCAATATGATAAACACAAGACTGATAGTTTTGATACCAATAGCAAACAAGCGTTGAAAGCGGACGAAGATATAATTTCAAATAAACTTGGCCAGAAGAATACTCCCGTCAAACATCTACACAGCTCAAGCTTCAAGCTCGCATTAAAGGAATTGAAGGCAACAGTTGAAGGCAGAATGAAGACAGAAACTTGTTTCATAAAATTGCCCGGTCCGATTGAAACATCGCCTGAAGAAGTCAATTTACGAAATGACAAGGAGCAGAGAAAAGAACAAGATAACGATCATTTCTTGAGCAAGGACAGCGACAAAGTTGTGATAAAGAACGAACGTCTGAGTAATTTCAACGACATAGATAACGATTGCACTGTGCAAGATGACATGGACTTGCTTAACGACTCTGTAAGTATATCAGATAATTTCGAAATGAATAACAGCACCGTTATTAAAGTTGAATCTTCGGACGAGAGCCAGTCGACCATAGAGATCCTGCCTGCTTCACCGGATGATAATCGTAGCGAGCTGGAGAGGAATATAATGGACGATGGTGATGATCAATTATATTCGGAGGATGCGATTCCGACTCAATTTGAGCTAGAGTTAGAGATCGCGGATAATAGCAATACCGATCTACTAGATGTATCTATGCCGAAACTTGATCCTGTTACCTGTTACAATTCACGTGTGAATTCTACTTATGAAGAGTTTAGTGATCAAACTGCAAAATTAGGACGTTACGACAAATCTGAGGCTTCCTCTCACGGCAAGAATTCGCTTGAGAAAGATAAAAGTTTTGTGGAAATTGGCAGCGATGATAGATCTGAATTGGAGAACAGCTCAGCTAACTCTGTCAAAGAGATTTCTTCGAAAACCCCTTGTTGCAGAGTAATGAGTTTCGCTACGACGAGAGAAAACTTTTGCTGTAATGACTCCTTGATAAAAGAAGTTTTAGCGGCCAAGGAGACTTTGAAAAAGTGCCTTTCGAAATCCAGATATGATGTAGGTAACGCGATAGGTAACACGAGACCGAAGACAGCCGCAGAGAAGAAACAGGGTTCGAGTTTTGATATCAACCAAATTTCGGAGGTGCCTTCGAGTGATGCTCAAAGCTGTCGTAGCGACGTTGCGTCTCAGAAGGGCTCTATACCCCTGGCAAGTAAATGTAACAAGACTGAAAAAATATCTAATACCGAGAAGTCTGATAAGAAACATTCCAAATCAAGCAAAAGTTTCTTCATGAAGAAGAAACCGAGGTCATTTGAGAAAAACGAAGCAAATTTCAAGGACACGATAAAGAACACATCCAAATGCAATATAACATCCTTGAAAATTAAACAGGTCGAGCAAGCTGTGTCAAACGAAAGTCTAATTCGTACTGTACATTTAAACGAGAAAAGAAAGAATGTAACTGATCAATGCGACGATGTTCCTCGTTCGCAGGAAAGGAAAGAGAATTCACAACAAAGGAAAGAGAAGAATCGGTTATCATCCTACAAAATTCCTAAGATATCGAGATCTACCAATCAAGGGAATAACACAAACAATGCAAAAGAAATCAAGTCCAAAGAAGATAACATGCCGATATTAGAGCCCGAGGTCAATGTAAACTTCGATACGAATTCAGATAGAGAGAGTTCTAGATCGCCCCCGGTCATCACGATTCAGGACAGCGAAGATCTCGGTGTAGCGGAGTCAAAGTTGATAGACGATAAAGTTATAACATCAAACATTAAAGTTGAAAGCAATATAAAGGACATTAAGAAGAGCGAAATGTCTATCGTCGATCTCATAACTCAATTAGCTTATCACGAAAAGGTGAGAGAAAGATTATTTTATTTAAATTATTATGTAAGAAGATCCTTTCTTTGAGATACTTTCTTTTCTCTCATGAATTCGAAGTATTTTTTGCTCATCCCGTTTATTTTCGCAGGCAACGATAAAAGATAAACGATACTGCAATTTGTGCGAAATATGGTTCGATAATCCATCGCAGCATGAACGGCACTTGGCTGGATACGAACACCGTCACATAGAATTGACACAACGTAGAAGCATTCACGCACTGTTCACGCTCTTCACGGGCAAGCCTTGTCCCAAGCTAGTTCCGGCGAATGTTGTACGAAGTGATTGTTCTATAGGTGAATTAACGCCGTTACAAATTGCGGTACAGGTACGTTGTATTCTCTTTACTGAATAAGTAATAAAGATATATAAAGTTTGTCTTTATAAACGATTCTTACGTGTATATATTGCACCATATATTTTTGTTATTCATTATTAGTATTACTGATCAATGTATAACGGTGCAATAACAACTCATCATATTGAATATAGTAAATATTATATGTTAATTTTTCCTCAGGATGTCACAAAGTGTTTTGACTGCACACAACAAAGTCCAAGGAAAGAAAATGATGTTGATAAATAATTGCGAGTAAGTTATTTACATTACAAGCCTATATATATAGTTACTGTGATTATAATAATGGCTTACAGTGCAATCTTTTTACGAAGGTTATCCGCGACGATAACGAAAAATCGAATATTTTATATCGCAGTTAGATCGCAAGCGATTCAGCTGCTACTGTTAATGGCGTCGACATCGAAATTTTAATTGCTAGATAATGAATGCTTTGAAAAGTTTGCTGATTTTAGCTAAGTCAACCGATGTGGGTCATCATTAACAAAGAGTTACCCAAGGGATACTTCTAGCTTACAATTAGATGTTTTAGCCAAAGATTTTAACAGAATTAAATAATACGCGTTCGATTATTTACACTTTGAAAAGAGACTCCGGTCTTTTATTTGTACAAAGTTTTACGAGTGATGTTCAACTTCTGAATGTGCTCACACTGCGAATTTTTATTTATATTATGAAGAGACTTATATATAAAACACATAGGTAGAT